AAAAAAAAAAAAGAAGTAAAAAGAGCCCTGGCTGGTGTGGCTCAGTGGTTGAGCATCATCCCTTGCACTAAGGGGTCACTGGTTTGATTCCCAGTGAGGGCAGATGCCCAGGTTTTGGGTTCAATTCCCAGTAAGATGTGTGCAGGCGGCAACTGACACATGTTTCTTTCTCATTATCCTTCTCATTCTCCCCCTTTCTCTCTCTCTAAAAATCAATAAAATTAAAAAAAAAAAAAAAAGTAAAAACTCATTTTTTACGTCAAGTTCCAAGTCAAATAAATTACCATGACTTAAGTCAAATTTCCAGGGGTACTGTTATTTTTATTCCTATTAAATTGTATGTATTGATACTCAATTCTTAGGTACTACAGAAGGCTATGTTCTCCAAAAATTCTCTTCTGATATAGAAACTACATTAAGATCTATGAACTGTCACTATAGAACTTTAATAGTACTTCTTCGGAAAAATTATGCTCAAGCAAAGTTACAATGTCTTCTCCCAGTCTAAATCTGTAAGAGATTGCCTTGCATCTAGTCAGATTCCTGAGCTGGCCATCAGGGACAATTACCCGTGTCAAACTGGCCTTATCGCTGCCTGCCCCCAGACACAGAAATCCAAAGTGGCCCGGCGGGCATGGCTCAGAGGTTGAGTATGGACCTCTGAACCAGGAGGTCCAGGTTCGATGCCCAGTTGGGGCACATACCTGGGTTGTGGGCTCCATCTCCAGTGTGGGGCATGCAGGAGGCAGCCAATCGATGATTCTCTCTCATCAGTGATGTTTCTCTCTCTCTCTTTACTTCTCTGAAATCAATAAAAATATATTAAAAAGAAAAAGAAATCCAAAGTGCTAAAACAGTAGCTATAACTTGGACTTACATAAAACAATGGGACTGGTGCTATGTCTCCTGGCAGGAATGGGGTATGTAGTGTTCAGGACCCATATATTCTTCCTCTTGGAGACGAAGCCCCATAAAGAAGTCTCGGATTCCAGTGCATGTACAGCGACCTGGAAGATGACTTGCACCTTTGAAGACGGTTGCCTGCAAGCTGACACACCATTGTCCCTCAGCAGGCTATTCTAAAGATCTCTCGGGCCAATCACTTCCGGATGATGCATATATGGTAAGGCCAGCTGACCCCATGGCCACAAGCCCACTCCCGCACCTCCTCTGCTGTGAAGTGAGGCTCCTGGTCAGACGGCATGTTGTGGGGACTCCATGCCTGTGGACCAGGCACTCCCATGAGAGGCCCCGGACAGTGATGTTGGCTGACTCACTTGACGGGCGGAAAAGGGAAACCGTTACCCTTTGCATTAGATTGCTAGTAAACATGTTCACAAACTGGGAAGCCTGAACATCAGAAATGAATCCTCAGAGTTCTGGAGCTGAAAGTCCACGTTCAGGTGTTAGCACAGCCGTGTTTTCCAAGGGCTCTGAGCAAGGATCCTTCCTTGACTTTTTCCGCCGTCCTCGGTGTTCCTTCGCTTGTAGATGATACATCACTCATTGTTCCATGGTGTTCTCCCCTCAGGTGTCTGTGTCTTCTCCAGTTCTTTTATTAAAAAAATTTTTAAATATATTTTATTGAGTTTTTTTCAGAGAGGGAGAGAGAGAGAGGATAGAAAGCTAGAAACATCGATGAGAGAGAAACATCGATTAGCTGCCTCCTGCACATCTCCTACTGGGGAAGTGCCTGCAACCAAGATACAAGCCCTTGACCGGAATCAAACCTGGGACCTTTCAGTCCACAGACCAATGCTCTATCCACTGAGCCAAACTGGTTTCGGCTCTTCTCCAGTTCTTAAAAGGACTCCACTCACACTGGATTAAGGTCCACCCTATTATTCCACTGTGACCTCACCTTAACTAACCACATCCTCAATGACCCTGTTTCCAAATACATTCTGAGGCAATGGGCGTTAGGGCTTCAACAGACCTCGGTAAGGGACACAAGTTAACCCACGACAGATGGTAATAGTTGGGAGGCAGACTGTAGTTTGGAAGAAGTAACTCCCTAGGAATAAGATTTATTCAGAAGTGTAATAACTTTCTGAGGTTAATTCTCATCAGTGAAGGTAGTCAGCGGTGACCCTCAAAGATGTTGAAGAATGACAAATTCAATGTTAGGCTACTGAACTAGAAGATATTAAATTTCTTTCCAGCTGTTAGTCAATAAGCTCATGAACTGAGTAAAATTACAGCACACTACATGTTTCATTGGCACTGCCTCCTAAAAAATTCAGTTCACATCTCCACTGACTGACTAGGTAAGCTACTATACTTGGTGCTATGGGGAATACCCACGTATCTCCTCCACCAAATTGGTTTCTCCTTTTGTGGACATCATCACTCCTCACTCAGTTGTCCAACTAAAAAGTATAGCATCCTACTAAGTATAAAACTATTGACTTAGAGCATGGATTTTGGAGTTAGTCAGACTCAGACTGAAATTTCAGCACCATCACTTTCAAGCAAGTTGTTCATTTTCTCATTCTCCACTTCAGGTCATCATCATCATCGTCCGCTGTTTTTATTGCTGAAAGCCCAATTCTGCTCAATTTAAGCATAATGTTCAATAAATTACAAATACTTCAAGTATGCAATTTAGTAAGTTCTGATATGTATCTGTGAAACCAAGATAATCAAGATGAAGAATATGTCCATCAAGTTAATTCATGCCCCTTCCCACCACCCCTATCCTCACACAAACTCTTACCTAATTTTTATCTTTGTAAGTTTTGCATTTTCTAGAATTTTAATGCAAATAAGACCATATAATATGTACTCTTTTCACCTGGGTGTTTTCACTCAGAATAATAGAAAGTTATCAATGTTGCATGCTTCAAGTTTGTTCCTTTTTTGGCAGGGGGAGGAGGATGATTCCTTTTTATTTTTATTGCTGAGCAGTACTCCATTGTATAGATATATCAGGGTGCCACAATCCAATCACCTATTGAGATTGACATTTGGGATAAACTTGAGAAGAGATTTGTAATTAAGTCTTTGTGTGGACATGTGCTTTCTTTTCTCTTGGGTAAGTACATGAGTGAAATGGCTGATTTGTATAGTAGGTACATGTTTTACTTTTTGAGAAGCTGCCAAACTGTACTCCCAACTGGTTGTACAATTCTATGTTCCCATCGTAGTGTAGGCAAGTTCCCATTGCTCCACATCCTTGCCAAAACTTGGTATGGTCAATGCGGTGCATCTCTCATGTTATTAATACATATTCCCCTAATGACTAATGATGTTGGGTAGTTTTTCATGTACTTATTTGCCATCCCTGTTTTGTTTTGTTTGTTTTTTTTTTCAGTTAAGTAGCAGTTCAAGTCAAAATATTAATTAAACTTGCCCATAAACTGGGCTTTCTTCATGTTATTAAGCTTTGTTTTAAAATATAGCCTAAATATAAGTCCTTTATTAGATATATTTTACAAATATATTGCCTTGCCTTTTCAGACTCTTGAAAAATCTAAGTTTTAAATTTTGATGAGCCAACTTAGCAACTGTTTTTAAAAAATATATATTTTGATTTTTTTTACAGAGAGAAAGGAAAGATAGAGTTAGAAACATCTATCAGCTGCCTCCTGCATATCCCCTACTGGGGATGTGCCTGCAACCAAGGTACATGCCCTTGACCGGAATCAAATGCAGGACCTTTTGGTCCACAAGCCAACCCTCTATCCACTGAGCCGAACCGAACCAGCTAGGACAGCAATTGTTTTTGTATCACAAAGCACATCCTGGGCTTTTATGGGCAACCTTCCCTGTAGTATTGCCACCGTGGCTCAGCTTCCCAATTTCCTCTCTATTGATAAATGTCTGAGGACAACAAGAACTCTGCTAGTTCATCTGCCGAGTGGAAACTGAAAGCCCAAAGTTGGATTTTACTGAATGTGTAAAAATCATTTTCACACCATTAAGTTGAAAAATTGTAAGTTGGGAACTGTCTGTACCTATTTAATGTCCATTTTTAACCTTGAGTGTGAGGTTTACCTTTATGATCTCAGGGCTTCTCAGATGTACTCAGTTTATTGCAAGTTCTTAACTTATGAATATATTAAAGACAACCAATTTATCTCAGAGATCTAACAATATGAGAAACTTTTTAAATAAAAGAAAGCAAACCCAGTTTATTTACTTAAGAGTGATAATTTGCTGAAGAGTAATTTTTTTTCTAACTCTGGGATGGGAAAGGTAGCATGTTCCACTGTACCATTTCATAGATAGTGATTTAGATTTATGTATGTTTCAAAACTGCTTGTGCTTGCCTAAGTTTCTTGGAAACAACTATGATAAAAGACCAAGTACAATCAAGTGAATACAAAAAACATTTATTAAAAGCTTGTATGATAGGATATGTGCTGGGGACACATACCCAGTTGGGACATTGTTCCTATAGAGTTCGGGACAGAAGACCGGCAAGTGGAGTGGGAAGGACAGAGGGAACGTTTTAACTGGTGCTTTCAGGTAGGAAAGCAGATGAACACGCCAGGGACCATCAGCAAAGGACAGGCACTCGTGCTGTTCCTAAGAAACGAGGTGTGTGGGCAGCTGCAGAGCAGCCTAGGACACCAGGACCAGTAGTGTAAGGCCAAGGGGACTGAGAAAAGGGAGAAATGTCAGTGATGTCTTAAAGACAGGCTCACCAGAGCTTACTGATGTCAGAGGTAACTAGCAAGTAGCATTAAACTCCCTGGTTGGATAACTACCGTAGGTTGGACAGAATGCTGTTATGACGGGAAAGATAATGTTGTGGGGTTTGAGGGTAAAAAAAATTTCATGTCAAGTTGAATACCTTTTCTGCAGGACACATATTAGTTTCTCGCCTGATATGAATCTACCCACATTATGTCCTTGAAGGCAAACACATATAAAAGATATTTTCTACTTTAGTTTATTTTACTTTCCTATTAAAATACCCCACTGGACTGGAAAGGGCACACAAGTATTCCCACTTGTACACTCTGCCTCAGGCAAACATTAAAAAGAAATCTCATATGCGGTTTAAAAGACTTGTTGACAGGATTACCAAAAGGACAGAACCACTGTGGCCTTGGGCCATGTTCTTAGCTGTGTCACCTGACCCTTCAATTCAGCTCACATCTGATTGTGCTGTGCTATATGAGTGTGAAAGTACTAAAGAATACAGGAAGGGCTTCAACAGAAACACTCACTTACAGCAACTTACACTGGTGGAAATTATTATGAAGACAGTAAAGAAAGAGAGTGGCATCAGAGTCCAGAGGAGACGGGTCTTGGATTTATCTAAGGAGCTGCTCATCAAGCTGTTAGGGCTGCAGACACTGCCCGCTGAGATGACATCCCACAGGATGGCCGCCCCGGGTAGGAGTGAGGTGCTCCTCGGGCCATAGATGCCGGTGAAAAGAAAAACACTCAGACACCAGCAGAGCACACGGAGTTTCCTCCTGCGAGGAAGAGCTGAGATGCAGGGACGGCCTTCTGCTGCTTGCTTCCTTCTCTCTTCTCAGCTTCAGGAGTCCCTCATTTAACTTTGGTGATGGGTCTGTATACTCAGGAAAATATCCAGGAGTTCTGTAGAGTATGCCCTTATTAATCACTCAACTTGAAGTTCAACAGCACCAGTCTCCTGTTAACTCTTAGGTGCCCAGGTCTCTATTTCCATCTTTTCTGAAAAATGACCAGCCTTTCACCAGGACTTACTTAAAGCACAAAGAAGCACTAAGAGGCACCAGGCTACCCTGCCGGGTAAAGGCGACCTGTGACAGATACAAACAAGCCGCTTCAGTGGCTGTCTTCTCTGTTGCCCTCATTTGGAAACGGACATTACTGTTTCCATAATCTCTTAAAGATCAGTCTTTGTAAAGAAGAGCTACCATAGAAATAAATTTTTACATTATTATCTATAAAGAGTTTTAATGTCTCTGCAATTTAGTATTCAAGTCTACAGGAAAATAACAATGACAACTGCTTTATTATTAAAAGTTACTGAATTCCATGAAGCACACAATGTAACTTATATTCAACTAACAAAAGTTTGATACATGTATTTAAAAATATATAATATATAGGCTTTATCTGTCTTTTAACATTTATATTCTATTTAAAAGGCAATAGCTTTACATATTTTACAACTTGGATTTATAAAATATACACATTCACCCTCTTCAAATCTTCAAGCACAAGCTTCCATTCCTATTAATAAAATGCACAATGTGTATTTCTGAATATTGAGAGGAAAATGATACCAAATAAGAACAAAAAATCCATTTTGACTTATAAACATGCAATCAATTCTAGATAACTTAATAATCTATTCAAATAATTATTTTACTTCAAGTGTGACAATCCATTCCATTTATGTGAACAATCTGTGACTAATTATGAAGAGGTTTGTATTTTCATGGTAACTGACACAATACCAAACTGCTCAGCAGTCTTGCTTCAGGCTTTATAATTAAAGAGGCAGGATTATTTCCTCTTTCCCTTTACCAGGAAATGTGACAAGTGATGTCATGTTGAACAAGCGAAAGCCGTGCTTCTGCCTTTGAGCTGGGAAGTGATGTAGGAACAGTTTCCTCAAGAACCTGCCAGTGTCTGTGCCAAGACTCAGACCGAGAACCGTTTCCTTCTCTCACTACCTGCACTTGGCTCACAAAGCTGGTGTTCCTTTGGTGTGTTAGACAGGCCAGCTTCTAGTCCGGCATTCCTTCCACACATTCAAATGACTTCAGATGTTGTTATTATTTTTTAACCAACAAAGTACCTTTCATAAAAAAATATATTCTTGTAAACATTCTGAGGATTCATCCCCAGATCTATGTTCCAATACTAACATTTTAGAATTAAATCACAGTCAGTACCATAGAACCAGAACTTCCAACTTCGGGGAAGAGATTTAGTCTGAAAAACGGGTTTAAATTCTGTGGGCCTCTAATGATGATAAACAACTGTACAGTTTATGCTGAGAAAGCAAAGGGCTCCCACAAATTATTGTTTAAAAAAAGTTCCAAATCTCTAATTGACTTAGAAACTTAAACAGAAATATACTTTTACCAAAACAAGTAATTTAAAGGAAAGGAAAAAGGAAGTAAAGAAAAAAAGGAAAGGAGGAAGGAAGGAGGAGGGAGAAAACATATAAGTCAGAAAGAGAAACTGAAGAACAAAACACTATACACACATCTGCGAGGATACTGAGGAAAAAAGAGGAATAAAAAACAAAACGAAACAAAACAAAACAAAAAACAACCAACTGCGAAGAGGACTGGGGCGGGTTGGTGCAGATGGAAAGACACCTCTTCACAGATCTTACTTATGCACAGAATACCAGAGCAGCGGATTCTGGTAACAAGGAAGCCTCAGAAGAGAAACATATGGTTAAGGCTGAGTAATTTATAAAAATTAACTCACACCATTATAAATCTAAAGCACTCAGCTAAAATATGCACACAAAAAAACTAAAAAAAAGTGAGAGTGAGAAATATAAGCAGGAGTAATCATAAAGCCTTAGAACTAGTGACACTGAATTCTTTATTTTAAAAAGTTAACACACAGTACCTCCTCTTCTATTTTTAGGGAGAAGTTTTAACAAGGCTTAAATATCTCAATTCTCGAAAACAATGTTGTTGTTGTTTTTCTTTTAAAAAAATAAGACTTGATTAGCAGAAACAAGTCATATGTGGTTACATACCATTTTCACATCACTACTCATTTCCATTATCTGTCAACTCATCTTTGATGCAATCTGGGAATGATCAAGCAGCCATTAGATATCTGTTTTAGAATCTGACAAAATTATTATTCACCACAGGAATCTAATGATATATTGCAAATATTTAAAATTTCAGAAGGGATAAAATAATAAACTATTCTAGTAATTTTATAGCAAATATGGGTATACCTCATCAAAATATAATAATAAAGATTAAGATCTTTCTCCAGGTCAACTGTTTAGAAAAGTGATTTTTAGCATTTGCCCCTGGGGATTAAAAAAAGTTTTATTTCCCTGCTAGCTAAAAGGAAGAATTTACACGTTATAAGTAAAGTCCTTATAGAGGTGAGTATCAATTCCTTAAGAGAACATCCATAAAATTTACTTTTAAAAAATGTATCTTAAAAAACTGAAATCCATTTCTTTCTTTAAAGTCTACAGCAAATACCTATAATGATAGTATTTTTTTTTTTTTTTTGAAAGGGCCATGTTCCTGACCTAAGCATGCAAAATAGGAATTGAATGCATCACTGTCTTAACAGAATTTGGCAAACCAGAAGAATGGCCTTCAAATAAATAAATAAATAAATAAAGAAGAAGAAAGTGCACATTGTCTGGATATGAGAGTAGGATCTGTAGGTCTCCGCAGCAGACAATGCCCCAGAGGGAAGCAGGGAGGAGGGAAGACGCAGGTTCCTATGTACATTTTCTTGGCATTGTGGTTGTCTTTCAACAACGTATCAAAGAGAAATAGTCATTTAATTATTACAAAGCCATTAATTGCCCTTTCCAGAGCAATGACTCAGGTAAACATCGTATGTCTTTCAATAATGTAACTTACATTTAAAATTAACCCATTAAGTGTAAGTGCAAAGGACTTTTCAATGATTCCTAAGTTCAAGGGAGAAATAAAGTGTCATCTGATTGCAAATTTTGAATGGTTGTTGTTTCTATATTTAAGGATATTTCATCTTCATTTCTTCTCTTTAAGCCATAAAATATACTGAAATTATTTGGTTTCCCTTTACTTTCCCTCTGCTTCACTTTAATTTTTATGGTATCTCCATGTAGAGAGAGAGGTATGTTAAAACACTACTATTCATATTTTAAAAACTGAATTGAGGTTATATATAATATGGCATTGTTAATCTTTGACCTGGTATATCAATTCTTTTGGTAAATAAATGTCACAGGTCATTTTTTTTTTTTTAATAAAGGGATTTTAGGAAGAGGACCACAGAATAAAGAGAATTTCCTCCATCCTTACCCCCGAAAATGATCAGGTTAATCAGTTTAGAGCAGTTATGAAAAATATATAATTTACAGCTGTGATTTTCATATTAAAAAGCAATTAAAAACTAAAAGTAGCTCAAAGCATCCCCAAAAACAATTTCTGTCTTGGTTAAATAGGCCATCTAGTAAGATAGATAAAGACTACGTTGGGAACTTATTTATGCCTAGTCAAGAGAGAACAAAAATGTTTTTAATTTTAGAAAGTGGTAGTTGCTAACTAGCAGTATAAACAGTGTCCACAATTTGGTAGCTGGCTATAGTTTTAATTGTTTTTTCAAGTTATTTCTAAAGCAGACGTATTTTTGAAGTCTACCCACCCCTGAGTTCAGCAATTATACTTTAGATTGTAAAATTATATGCCCTTAATTAACAACATGTACAAAGCTACAAAATGTTGTCTATACAGAGATTAAAAACAAATTTTAAAATATTATTTGCCAATTATTGATTGGACAGTTTTGCTGGGGTATATATTTCAAATCTTTCAGACAATTGGCTTTTATTTTTGAGCCCAAATTGATTCATAAATTCACTGCAGGATATGTTAAAAGAGTGCAACAATATGCATTAGTAAAAAATAACATTGTAGTACAAAGAGATTTTGCATATGTGAAAAGGTAATTTATAAAATACATTAATCACTTTTTAAAAAGAGAACCTAGCTGCAGTATCATTAACTTACACAGTACTACTGAGAATTGGACCTTTCAACAATTTTTTTCCTATAGAAAATTTTTTACTGTAAAGCAAAGACTGAAAGCAAGTCTTTTAAAAAGAAAACAAAAGAAATCTCTCTGGGAATTACTGTATGGTTGTGTGAGATAAATAAAATAAGTAAACATATCATTGTATAGTGTACTTCTGCCTAAATTTTAAAATAAAAATGTCCACACTCTTTTGATAAAACATTAAGCCTCTGTCAAAAATGTATTTCTTATTTTAGGGTACAGGATTGAAGGACAAGATGATAGTTACAAGTAAAGAAAATTTACAAGAAAAAAATTGACAAAAGTTTTTCAATTAAAATATTGTAACATTCAAACTTGACTTGAAACATAACAAAAGAAACAAAATGGCAAACAAAAAATGTTTTGGGGTTTTCCAAACAAATAAATGAAATAGTGTTTAGGGAGTAGGGCTCATGCTGATGGCTAGCAGGAAGTAACAGAGTGTACTCTACTTGGAAAAATCATTAATGTACAAACAAGCCCACATTACGGACTGCAGTAATTTAATCATCACTGCCATTTATCTTCCAAAATAAAGCCTTGATTAAACCATTCATACCCTATTATTACTCATACCCTTTACTTCAAAGATAAGGAACTATATACAACAAATGAATTTATTTTCACCATAGGGATAACATATTGTACCTCTCTGCCAATGTTACTTGAAACCTTCCATGTCAAAACAACTTGACAGTAGATATAAACAATTCAATAAATACGCAATGATCTTTCATTACAGTCCTTTGAAGATGCATGTTAATTCATGCTGTTAACCTTAGGATCACAGTGCATAGAATCCAAATAGAAACAAGTTGGGGTGACTTTCAAAGTAATGTTGGATCCCTCACTTTATTTAGAACCGTTAACGTTAATTTCATAGGCCCTATCATGCATTAATCACTGGGTGGCAGGAGCTAATGAAGATTTTTCCTGTTATGACGTCCATTGCCGGCAATGAACGTCCCAAAACCGTCAAGGAAGTCATTGTTATTGCACAATACATGAGGACCTGGAACTTTTCCAAAAGCTTAAAAAAATAAAAATAAAAAATGGAATTATATTTGACATTTCCTGACACCTGCATTAATACTGTATGACTAATAAAAGCATGTCAGTTGCCTGGACTGAACCAGCGATCAACATGCGCCCAGAATGCACACGAGTAAAAATGCAGTAAAAGGAAGTAGTCTTCATTGCCTATAGGTCACTTCCAGTCAAAGGTTAAAGTTCAAAGACTGAATGATCAAAGTGCTCATTTTCTCAGTAGGACTATCTTCTGCTAGGAGGATGATAATAGTGGCATCAACAAGTATCATCTTGAAGAAAAGGAGAAAAAATATAATTAAAAAAGTCAAGCATGTGTTAGTAAAATCTATAAGTTAGTCTAACATAGAAATAATTTCAAGTACCAAGAACACTTAGGTTTACATGTCTGACTTGCTTCCCCTAATCCCTGCAAATAAAAAAGTCCAATTTGTGTTCATTTATATAGTGACATTCAAATAAAGTCCTATTTTTTCAGGGAAATGGTAGTTCATACAATTTTTTTTTTTTTAGTTAATACAAATCTTAAAAGGATGTATTATTGTATATTAGTTCTATTTAAAATAATAAATTAATATGTTAGCACATATTCAGAATTTATTAGTCTTAAGAAAATTTCTTCATGGTAATAATTTAAAACGGTAACAAGTTAAGAAGTACACCCCTGAGCAACACTGCCATGTTATTTAACACAGAACAAACAAGTCATGTCTTCAGTCTGTTAAAGGAAATAACTTCACCAATCTCCACATCAATCAAATAATGTCATTTAAAAAAAACACGCAGAATTATTTAGTAACGCCTTCTCGTAGCCTCAACACATATTTCTGTAATATGTAGCATTCTGGGTTCATGACTTGTTTTACAAGATTTATTTCACAAAACATATCTGATGAATTTATTTTGAGGACTGGTTATTCTTCAGAAAGAAGCTAGACTAGTAGCAACTACTAAAGTTGTTAAAGCTTTCTAACAGAAAATCCTGAAAAATTGGCCAAAATATTTTACAAACCATTCCATATTCGGATCAATATATTGTGATATACTAACATTCCTATTCATAAAGATTCAATGAGAGCCGAAACCGGTTTGGCTCAGTGGATAGAACGTCTGCCTGGGTCCCGGGTTTGATTCTGGTCAAGGGCATGTACCATGGTTGTGGGCACATGCCCAGTAGGGGGTGTGCAGGAGGTGGCTGATTGATGATTCTCTCTCATCGGTGTTTCTAACTCTCTATCACTCTCTCTTCCTCTCTGTAAAAAAATCAATAAGATATATTTTTCTTAAAAAAGATTCAATGAGAACTAAAAACCAATAAACTATCCTAGACAAACTAATGGAATAATCTGTGATTCTACAATTTCTTTTAGAATAATATTTTTATTGAGGAAGGGAGAGGGAGAGTAAAATAGAAATATCAATGATGAGAATCATTGTTAGGCTGCTTCCTGCACACCCACGACCGGGGATTGAGCCTGCACCTCAGGCACGTACCCTTGACTGGAACTGAACCTGGGACCAGTCAGTCCTCAGGCCAACGCTCTATCCACTGAGCCAAACCAGCTATGGCTGTATTCCTACACCTTAAGGGTAATCTAAAGGGTGAAATAGACTAGATTTAAAAAATAAGTCACATCTAATTTATTAGAATCCTTTAAAAAAAAAAATAACATCTTTAAGAAGCTGATGTGGCTCAATGGTTGAGTGTCAACCTAAGAACCAGGTGGTCAAGGTTCAATTCTCAATCAGGGCACATGCCTGGGTTGTGGGACCAAACCATCATGTGGGTTGTGCACGAGGCAGCCAATCAATGATTCTCTCTCATTGTTGATGTTTCTATCTCACTCTCTCTTCCATCCTCTCAGAAATCAATCAATATAGATATGACAAGTGGATAGTTTATAGCCTCTAAGTGTCACAACTTGGAACTACCTGTTTCTTAAATTACTGTGGAAATGGGGAAAAGAGGACACATTAGTCATGGATGTACAAACTTAAGTACTAATGATATAACTTTAGCATCATGTCATTTGACAAAGTATGCACTAAGTGACAGACAAAATCAACTCAAAGTTACCCAGCAATAAGTTTTTATCTCCAAAGACATGTCATCTTTGATAGGTGGTACCATAAATGTACCTTTATCAGGTTGTTCATTCTGGAAGTTTTCCAGGACAATAGGCTGATGTAGAATGTGCTACCAACATCCAAAATGACTGGGAGAACCATGTGAAGCTATTATTCCTATCTTGATTCCAATGTTGGGTCAGATGTTAAAAGAAATTTAAAATTAATACGACGCTATCTGCCTTGAATACTGTATCCCTGGAGGAATAAACTTCCTAAATAAGTTCTGAAAATGGAGTGGATTAAACATTACAATTCCACGATGACTGTATGGCATCAAGAGCCTGTGAGCAAACACTGAAGTATAGAGACAGGTACAAGCCAAAGCCATGGCCACCTTCTCTTTAAAAAGAAGGCCGGCGGAAACTGGTTTGGCTCAGTAGATAGAGCATCAACCTGCGACCAGGTTCGATTCAGGTCAGGGGCATGTACCTTGGTTGCGGGCACGTGCCCAGTAGGCAGTGTGCAAGAGGCAACTGATCGATGATTCTCTCTCATCGATGTTTCTAACTCTCTATCCCTCTCTCTTCTTCTCTGTAAAAAATCAATAAAATATATTAAAAAAAAAAAAAAAAGAAGAAGAAGAAGAAGAAGAAGAAGAAGAAGAAGGCCGGCTGCTAAGAAGCAAAAAACTCATTGTTAAAGGAACCCTGACTAAATGAAAGGGTTCTGGGACACCAGAACTGGCTTACAAAAAATAGTTGTTATAGTGAACCCATCTTGGATCAAAACAAATATAGGTACTGAAAGAACATAATGTATTTAACCTCCTGACTAATGCATTTGTGGCAAGATGATGTCCTAAAAAAAAAAAAAAAAAAAAAAAAAAAAAAAAATCTATTAACCATTTCAATTTTTTTTGGAACTGCAGAAGCCCCTGCTAAAATTATATTCTCAAATAGAAAAATAGAATATACAAATTACCAGTTCCAAACAGGGGACACCTACCATGGCTAACTTCACTGGATTCTGGGAAACATGATTGAGAGAGAACTATATTAGAAGAAGGTCATTTGGTTTTCCCCAGAGTACAATTACCATCATATTATACTGGAAACCATCTCCCTGAATATTTCCAGGAACAGAAGATTAAAAGAAAGGGGACACAGGATAAGATCAGTAGATATAAAGTGGTATGCTACCTCCAAGAAAGACAAAAATCAATCTTTACAGTTAGAATCTCTCAACAGTTTAGGGAAATGAAGTTTTCCTTTGATAAACCAATTCAAGAAAGATTTCAGATTAGTCAATAAAACTGTTATAAAGGGCAAAAGACTGTTAAAATTAGTATAAAGTTTAGACTCATCAATTTAGAGTTCAAAAAGGTAGCACAAATAAAAAGCTTCCCAACTAATTAGATAAATCTATGAAGTTATAAGGCAAGGAAAAGAGTTTGTTAATACTAGTTTGAGGTTAATTTTATGTTCTTATTCCCTTATAATCCTGCAGGAAATGTTTCAGCTGAATGGAACCAGAATGTAGTCTATAGTTTTGCAAAAGACCTTCTTCTGTTCCTTATTAGTTTACTGAATAAAACATATAAAGATTATGCCAATTTATTTCCTATAAGCCTAGTTTTCTGGAGCCAATTCAAAAGCAGTCTTAAGCTATTTTGTTCAATAATCTACAACTTTAAGAAAAATGCTTCAGTAACCACACATCAGTACTGCTATCTATAGAAAGCAGTATTTAAGAAACTAAGTTGTAAATGTTTTATATTAATTCCAGAAAGCAAATGTATATTATTAATGGATTCTAGTTGAATGCTAGCTCACTGAAAGTTTTTATAACCTCATAAAAATATTCTTATCTTTTTCAAGAACATTTGTATCTGCTTTATAATATAAAAAGTTGAGGCTCAATCATTCGTTCACTTGTACACTGAACTGGATACAGACTTGTCATTTAAGAAGATTCTAGCTCTGAACCACAGGTAAATCCCAGAGATTCAGTATGCTAAGATAAACTGTCCATTCTAATACATATTTTGGTTAGGTCCCTTTTTTTTTTTTTTTTTTTTTAACCCTATTCTCTCAACTCAATTGATTTTTCAAAGCATATGGATCCCAGCTTTAATTAGCAACACAGAATATTTGCATCCCAATGTAGATATGACCTTAGTCAATTTCAAGTAAGCAATAATAAAGGATATGTATTCACATATTAATGACTTTTATAAAACATATACGTAGGCCATTGGTATAGCCTACTGCCTCAGCTACCAATCATTCCAGCATGTTATTGTACTGAATACTGTAGGCAACTGTAATGCAGTGGTAAATATCTAAACATATCTAAACATAGAAAGGGGGGGGAGAATCCAAGATGGCTGCACAGGTAAACACCTAGCCGTAGCCACACACAAGAATTTCAATAAAATACAACTAAAATATAAAATGGACATTACCCAGAACTACTACAGTAATGACTGGATATTCTACAACGAGAAGCAAGGAGAAAACCAGAAGGAAGAGCGGAGGAGCTGGAAAAGCTTAACATACAGAGACAGGCAGCGCGTGCGCGCGGAGAGGACGGAGCCGGAGAGGAGGGGCGGCTGAGTGCCTGGCTGGCATTCCCTAGCAGGAAGGAGATGAAAGCTCCGACTGTGCTGGGCCCCAGTTCCCACTGCTCTGAACCCCAGTTCTAGGCCAGATCCCGGGGACCCAGGCTCATTCAGAGGGAGTTGGGCTGTAAGGCAGAACCCCGGGGGAGCGGCGAAAGGAGGTCCTGAAGGCATGCACATTTCGCGCAGAGAAGGGATAGTTGGCTGTGCTGTGGGATTGCCCTGGCGGGAAGGAGACAAAAGCTCCGGTCTGCTCTGAATGCCACCTCCAACTTCACTTTCACTGAACTGAACCCCAGTTTCGGGATCATTGGGGGAGAGTCTAGATTGTTTGGTAGCAGGCGAAAATCGAGGGCACCTTTCTCACAGAAGTGCTTGCAGCAGTACTGAAGGATCCTGGGGATTACTAAGATTCGGGAGCCGCATAGGGCGGGGCTGACAGAAGCCAAGCCTGTAGGCTCCACCCTGAAACCCTGCCCCATCAGGGAAGCTGCGAAAATGCTGAGACAACGAAATAGATCACAAACGAAAGAAATGGAGGACAAAAAGCGACTGGATATAGAGTTCAAATCTACGCTTATAAGGTTTTTCAAGAATTTCCTAGAAAAGGTCGATAAGACCTATAAGGATATGAAAAGGGATCAACAAGAATTAATAAGGAATCAACAAGAAATGATAAGGAATCAACAAGAAATAAAGAATACATTGTCTGATATAAAAAATATTATACAGAGTTCTAAAAACAGAATGTAAGATCACAAGAATAAAGTCAAAGATTTGGAACATAAAGAGCCAGAAGACACTCCTCCGCAGAAGCAAGAAGACAAGAGAATCCAGAAAGTTGAAGATAATGTAAGAAACCTCTGGGACAACTTCAAGCGAACCAACATCAGAATTATGGGGGTCCCAGAAGAAGAGAGAGAGCAAGATACCGAAACATACTGGAAGAAATAGTGACACAAAACTTCCCCCAACTGGGGAAAGAATTAGACTTACAAGTCCAGGAAGCGCACAGAACTCCAAACAAGAGGAATCCAAAGAGGACCACACCAAGACACATCATAATTAAAATTTCAAGAGCAAAAGACAAAGAGAGAATATTAAAAGCAACAAGAGCAAAGCAGGTAGTTACCTATAAAGGAGCACCTATATGATTGTCAGCTGATTTCTCAACAGAAACCATGCAGGCCAGAAGGGAATGGCAAGAAATATTCAAGGTGATGAACGGTAGAACCTACAGCCAAAGATAATCTACCCAGCAAAGCTATCACTCAGAATAGAAGGCCAGATAAAGAGCTTCACTAATAAATAAATAAAAAGCTAAAGGAGTTCATCACCACCAAACCAGAATTATATGAATTGCTGAAGGGGGTTCTTTCGGAAGAGAAAGTAAATAAAGATAAAAATTATGAACAACAAATACATAACCATCAACAAGTGAATCTAAAAACCAAGGAAATTAAAAAAAAAAATCTGATGAACAATATTAACTGTTGAATATAATAGAATCAGAGGTATGAAAGGGGAGTGGACTGACGATTCTTGGGGAAAAGGGGAGAGGGGGATGTGGGAAGAGACTGAACATAAACTGTGCACCTATGGATGAGGACAATGAGGGGTGGGGAAACGGCAGAGGGTGGGGTGGGAACCTGGTGGAGAGCAATGGGGGGGAGGGAAGGAACATTTGTCATAATATGAACAATAAAAATTTATTTAAAAAATAAATATAGAAAAGGGATAGTAAAAATATGATATTAAAGATTATGAGATTATATTTTTATGGGAACACTGTGGACAGAAACATCATTCCATGACACAGATTATATAAGATATAATGTATATAAAGACAATTAATAGTAGGGTATCAGTGACTAGGTTAATTTTCAAGGTATGCTAACTAATAATGCAGAAGATGACAAATTTAAGCTGAGAGGCGTTTTTTGTTTGTTTGTTTGTTTTTCAAGAACCCAACACTGATAATATCTGGCAGCTCAATTTTAGTGTCAGCTGAGTCCTCCTCTTCTAAAACCAGGAGATAAACTAAATTTCAGATTTTTTTTTTCATTAATTAGTGCCTTCATCCCGCATCCAGAAGCCTCTCTGAAGTACACATAAATCACCAGTCTAAACCCAAAACCTCTCCTGTCTCTTTGGCTACACTGGACATATATTCTGACCCATGCTGATCCAAGGACTGGAGAGCTCCATACCTGAAACCTACCGTTCTGCATGTTTTTAGAAACTGAAATGTTAAAGTGTTTCAGGGAGTTCACCCAATTCCAAGCAAATCTTTGTTTAGTCTGATCTTTTTCTTTAGCTTTGCTGGCACACTTTGTAATCCTTTCAGAATTAGATGCTGCTAAGAAGTAACAAAAGACCATCTGTCTTGGTAACTTGGTTATAAAGAAAACATGGTCAATGAAGATCTTTTGGAACTAAAGCAGCTAAGCAAAAACAAACATCTAAAAGTTGATGTATTCTGCTTTATAAGTGAATATGATTACCTTTTTTATAAGATTTTCCAAATTCAACTACAATGACAAGGTGGGCTATTTTTACATCGTCCATAACTGTTAATTATTTTTAAGTGTAAAAAGAAGACATTACATGGTACCCAGTTGACACACTTTATCTTTTTAAAGATGAAGAAATGTTCATAGAAGATTCTCTGCACATATCCACCCACATTTATAACAGAGCAACTGCTCTACCATCACAAAATACATACTAATATTACTCTTCCCTGATTTCACATCAGGCTCACTCCTGGAGAAAAATTGTTAATTTAACAGTAATTGTGGGAAGAGAATGATTTAAACTTACAGGGTTCAAGAAAACACATGGAGGTAAGAATGGTCGATATAAGTTAATAAACTAAGGATGTTTGAAATAATTATCTGTGAATGAAAAAAGAACATGTGTTCTGGGGCTAGGATACTATCCCAGGACTGAAACTGGACTAGAGTAGTCATGATTTAGTTGAATTAGAACCCAATGCCTTTAAAAAATGGCTTATTATTTGTATTTCAGGAGGAGGGATAGGAAGAGGAGATACTTTTAATCTGTATATTGAGAAAATTAATTCTGATACAAACCCTGGACTATTTTACATTAAGAAGTAAATTTTGCCGGGACTGGTTTGGCTCAATGGATAGAGCGTCGGCTTGGGGACTGAAGGGTCCCGGGTTCGATTCCGGTCAAGGGCATGTACCTTGGTTGCGGGCATATCCCCAGTAGGGGGTATGCAAGAGGCAGCCGATCAATGACTCTCCCTCATCGATGTTTCTAACTCTATCTCTCTCCCTTCCTCTCTGTATAAAAATCAACAAAATAAAAAAATAAAAAAAAATAAAAAAAGAATATGTCTTAAAAAAAAAAAGAAGTAAATTTTGCTTAAAAAGTCTCACTTGGCCTTGCTGAGATGGCTCAGTGGTTGAGCGTCAATCTATGGACCAGGAGTTCATAGATCCATTCCCTGACAAGGCATATGCCCAGGTTGCAGGCTGAACCCCCAGTAGGGGGCATGCAGGAGGTTGCCAATTGATGATTCTCTAATTCTCTAATATCTTTCTCCCTCTCTCTTCCTTTCTGAAATCAATAAAAATATATTAAAAAAAAAAAAAACTCTGTCTTTTCTTGGCACTTTTTGGCCAACTTACAAATGATCCATCTCAAAATATTAAAAGACTTTTCTAGTTTAGTTATGGAAGTACAGATTTCTCAGAAAGTAATAGATAAAAACTATATAGAAGTAACTTCTATTATAAGTGTATTTTATTTTAAAGAACTGATTTTTATATTTTTAGTATCACTGTGTGACTTTTCTCCATTTCTTATTAAAAAACAGGTAATAAGAAATTCTGGAAGTATCTATATATATAAAAGCCCAACAATCAGAATGGTGGAATGGCCAGAACAGCTGGTGGCTATGACACGCACTGCAGCAGCCAACCAGCCTGATGTGGGCCCTAATCAGCCCCACTCCTCCACCGGGCCAGCCGATGGGTCCCCACTGGGGTGGGCTCGCTGGACCCCACCTGTGCATGAATTCATGCACTAGGCCTCTAGTTCTTAAATAAAAGGCTTCTCATAAGTCCTTTCAACTATATAAAGGCAGCACTGGAAATCTTGAAATATGATTAAGTGGTAGAGAGAGTTATACTTTTTATTAATCCTCACCCAAGGACATATTTAGAAAGAGGAAGGGGGGAGGGGATAGAAGAAAAGACAAGGAGGGAGAAGAGAGGAAAGGAGGGAGAGGGGGAGGGAGAAAGAGAAAGAAAAGGAGAGAAACATCAATGTGAGAAAAACTAATCAGTTGCTTTATGTTAGCCCCCTGACGGGGATGAAGCCCACCACCCAGGTTATGTCCAACCAGCAACCTCTAGATGCATAGCACAATGCTCAACCGACTGAGCCACTCCAGCAAGGCAAAGGAGGGTTATACTATAAAAATAGATGTATTTTTAAAATTCACCACTGTAGGACGATTTCCTCACACAACTTAAAACTTGGTTAAAAATATTATAAAAGACAATGGAATTGTCCTATTATTAGTGAGGCTGAATCTGAAATAAAATGACCACTATCTTAGGAACTTTGACACTTTAATGGCACAGAAGAAAGCAGCAGCAAAGTGTTTGGTTGCAACAAGGCAAGAGGAAGTGAAAGAATGAATAGTCAGCACTGTGAATTGAAGTAAAGGCTGTTTAATTAAAGTAAGGTCTTTGTTAAAGTTTAGTGGAACTTCAGTGCTAAGAAAGAATTCCTGAAATCTGACTATTAATGCATCTTATTTGGAACGTTGTCCTTTGTAGCTAAGAATCCCTGAATAACTATTAGAGGAGGAAGCATATTCTTTAAATTGATGGGTCAGCCGGGACCGGTTTGGCTCAGAGGATAGAGCGTCGGCTTTCGGACTGAAAGGTCCCGGGTTCGATTCCGGTCAAGGGCATGTACCTTGGTTGCAGGCACATCCCCAGTGGGGGGTATGCAAGAGGCAGCTGGTCGGTGTTTCTCTCTCATCGACGTTTCTAACTCTCTGTCCCTCTCAATTCTTCTCTGTGTAAAATCAATAAAATATATTTTTAAAAATTAAAAAATTAAAAAAAAAAAAATTGATGGGTCAGCTCTAACAACGTGGTTCCCCCTCCCAGAGAACAGCACCAAAACTGAAGGCGTACACAGGCATCAAACATCAGGTTTCCCAGTAACTAGCTCTAATTTGATCTAAACATTATTAAGGACTTCCTTTTTGTAATATAATGGTAGTTTTCAAAATGTTAAAGCAATTTTAGATTTTACTTGTATAATGGTTATGATTTTACGTGCCATTAAGAAGCTAATTTAACTTACCCATAAAATATCTTTAAGTATTTTTAAAATTTTTCTCCATATTAGAAAAATTCAACATCTTTTTCTCAAGCAAAGAGGTATTTTTCAAATCAAAATGCTAAAAAGTTATTATTCTAAAATAAAACTGCTTACCATGATACCACCATTTTGTTTTCTTTGGATTCTTGTTACATGTTCGAACATAAAAAGAATTATCTGGTGGTCGTCTCTGAAACGAAAAAGTTTAAATAGATAAAAAGTTGTAAAATAGAAAAAGGGAGAGACAGATTTAATAAGAGCTTCAGCAAAACTATTATAGAATGCATAAAAAAACAATATAACTGCTGATGGCATAAATGAAAGAAAACCTAGGGAATGTAGACATTTGACACTAAAATTGCTTTTAAAAACCTAAAAGTGTGTGGTTTAGTTTGAGCTAGGTTCCTGTGGGATTACTGAAGAATGAATACCAACTAGTAGTGGCATCATTAGATTGTAAAAAATTTTGATTTCATTTACCTTATCTCCCTAGAAATAAGTTAATAATTACTTTTGTGAGCTAATTAAAACAAAAAAGTCTCCCTAATTAGATTTGTTTGAGAAAACTAATGCAACTTATAAACCTCCACAAAGGATTTTACTTTTCTGTAAGATCACCAAGGAGAGACCACAGGATTCAGTTTCCAAATATCATGAGAAAAAAGGGGAAAAGATATATTGGCATTTCTGCGGTACATATACATGTCTTACTAGAACGATACTATAAACATATGGCAGCTTTGCAAGGAATATACATCAGAAACAGTGATGTCAACAATGAAGATAGATTATAGAAGAGGGCTGTCCTGAAAACTTTTATATATTGATCAGACACAAGGAATATGTGACACTAAAGATTTGGAAACAGGGCAAGCCTGTACTAAAGTCACAGAGGATAGGTTTGTAGCTAATAGGATAGGCTCAAGCAAAATGCAATGGAGAGCAGGACTACCTAGAGATAGGAGGAAGGAAAATATCTAAAACTCACATATATGACTCTAATCTTAGCCGAGCCTCATAATGCCCCTAGGAGTTAATATTACTTTAACAAAAGGGAAGAGTAGAGCATAAGACGTACAACTATCCCAAGATTATCCTATTAATACAGTTCTGGGGAAATTCCTGAAAAATTAATATTATGACATTAGATGCCTGACTACTTCAAAGACTAGATGATTTGCTGTTGCTTGTCCTGCAAAGTCATAACCAGTGCTTACATGGAATAAATTGCTACTACTATGACAAATAATTTCACAAATTACTTTTATGTATTTATTAGAACCCAATTAAAAAAACACTCTACTTAAGTCAAGAATATAACCTAACTGGTAATGTAACCAAGGAGATTGTGTTCTTGGAAAAAATAAACTATTTATAAAGATGGATTACCAAATTGTTTTAGAAATGGAACATAGGCTGGGAAGTTTGGACTATCAGTATTAGGGCCCTGAGAAAAAAGGATTGACTACTGAGAAACCCTTGGTCTCAAATCTACTAAAAACTCCTGACATAACAGATTTACTAGTAAATGCCTCAGTTTAGGAAACCATTCTTGACTATGAAAAGGGAAACTGGAACAAAACAATTATGACTAAATCTAAATTCTTAAAAGCCTATAGTAAAAATTAAAATTTGTATTAAAAAAGAATCACTAATAAAGTGAAACTTAGACAACCATGTCCACCACAGAATACAATTCACCTGCTTTACTAGAAGAGTTTTCGGTGGTTATTTAAAAGACATTTTAAAGCTTATTGGAAGCTAGAGCACCTCAATGACAAAGCAAGTTTCCTCTTTGTAATCTACTACTTAGCACAGTAAAAATAGCATAAAGTTGGTAACTAGTAATTGTTTGCTGACTTTCATTACAGAGTTAATGCTGCCAGAATGCTGACTTCCAGATTACCATTTTGTTGTTGAATACATTATAGTTTATACAATATTATATAGCTTAACAATAATTCAAATGGAGTGGCTAGTCTTATATACGAAATATCAAAGATATGGTAGCAAACAACTAAATATGAGGGGAATGGTAAAGCTTAGAAAAAGATGAAGGAGGTAAAGAATATAGGAATTTTCGTTTATAATAGTAAATCAATAAATTTAAATGTAAACAAAAGTTAATCATCAGGTATATCAAGAGCTATGTGCAGATATCAGCCAAAACCGGTTTGGCTCAGTGGCTAATGTCCGTCTGTGGACTGAAGGGTCCCGGATTCGATTCTGGTCAAGGGCAGGTACATTGGTTGCGGGCACATCCCCGGTAGGGGGTGTGCAGGAGGCAGCTGGTCAATATTTCTCTCAGCGATGTTTCTAGCTCTCTTCCCCTTACCCTTCCTCTCTGTAAAAATTCAATAAAATATTTAAAAAAAAAAAAAAAAAAAGCTATGTGCAGATATCACTAGTACCCATCTCTTAGCTTTTCTTATTCAATCCTGTTACTGCCTCACCTTTCTATAGACATTAAACATTAGCAAGGAAATAGAAACCCTAATCGTTGCAAACTGCTCTGTACTACTAAAAGCTTAAAATTGGTATGTGTCCTGCGGGAGGAAATATGGAATAAATGAGTAAGACTTATTTCCAAAGCCCTTGGAGTTTACTAAAGCTCAAATATAGTGTTAAAATGCAGCTTAGAAAAGCCAACAGCAAAGGGGAAACTAAAGTTAAAAAGTGATACTAACATATGTACCCTACTTCATCTCTTCTAAGATGTAAATTTTCCCCTTAAAGTTTAATATTTTTTAAAAATTATTATCATCTTCAGAGAAGAAGGAAGAGGGAAAGAGAGATAGAAACATCAATGATGAGAATCATTGATTGGCTCCTCCTGCACACACCCCACTGGGGATCGAATCCACAACCAGGCATGTGCCCTTGATCGGAATCGAACCTGGGACCCTTCAGTCTGCAGGCCAACGCTCCATCTACTGAGCCAAACTGGCCAGGCTAATATTCTTAACTAATGGTGTGTCATAAGTTTAACTGCCTGAGTTAATTTTCTTTTTTCTTTTTTTAAAATATATTTTATTGATTTTTTACAGAGAGGAAGGGAGAGAGACAGAGAGCTAGAAACGTCGATGAGAGAGAAATATCGACCAGCTGCCTCCTGCACACCCCCCACCAGGGATGTGCCTGCAACCAATGTACATGCCCTTGACCGGAATTGAACCTGGGACACTTTAGTCCACAGACCGACGCTCTATCCACTGAGCCAAACCGGTTTCGGCTAAATTTCCTTTCTTATATGGTATTTAAAAGTGCATTTTAAGGGCTCTTAATGGTATAATTTGAAAAAACACAATTTTACCCATTATTTAACCATGCTCAGTTGAACAAACTCTTCTTTTTTTCCTTTTTAAACCTAACATCAAAAAACTTATGAAACTAACATCCCAAGAAACTTACTTTGCAAACAGTGACTTAAAAGTGCTTTAGTCTAGATAACCTACTGTTTAAAAACGAAGTACTCTAAAAAATAAATAAATAAAATAAAAATAAAAAATAAAAACAAAGTACTCTGCTAGCCAGTTTTGGCTCAGTGAATAGAACGATGGCCTCAGTGAACCAAAGGGTCCCGAGTTCCATTCCGGTCAAGGGCATGGACCTCGGTTGCAGGCTCCTTCCTTGCTCGGGCCTTGTCAGGGACCATGCAGGAGGCAATCAATTGATGTTTCTCTCACATCGATATTTCTCTCTCTTTTTCCCTCTCCCACTCTCTCTCTAAAAATCAATGGACAAATATCCCTGGGTGAGGATAAAAAATTTAAATAAGTACTATCTTAAAAGTTCTCTAACTACAAATTTAATAAAAATGACAGTTCATTTTGGAAACAGAAAAATAAATAACCTCTCAGCTCTCTAATCTCGAGAAGTTTGTTTCTTCTGTAAACAGAATACAAAGGAAAGCCCCAGGGGAAGTAAGGCTTTCTGTAGTAAACCACGGCACTGTGGCTAATGTGGCTACTAACCCTCAAGTAGGAATGACAAAAGGACCAGAAGAGCAGAGGATTTAGGGTCTGTAAAAGGATATCTTAAATATTAACTCGTGTGACTTTTGTTTTTGGTCTTATTCTCCTCAGCAGCAGACAAAGAACCTGTGGATTTGTAGAGGAGAGTAAAAGGACAAGTCCTAAAAATTCTCCTGGTATCTAGTCTGTCACCTTCAACCTAATCATTATGATAGCAAAGCTCCGGTTCTTGGGAAATGCCTTCAAAGAGGCAGATCTGGTGAGAGCCAACACAGGGAAGAAAGCAGGGGAGTTTTCCCTCATGATGTTTGTTCTTGGGGCTTTTCACTCTGGGATCTAGAAACAAGAACTTCTTGGACACTTTTGCCCTGTGCATGTTTATGGAAATAAAATGCAGACTATTTAGAATATCTGCAGGTATTTTCTGTTTAAGAAATAAAAAACAATATCTAACTCCTATTTGGGATAAAAGATTATCAAAATATGCATTTCCTATTAACTTTATAATAAAAAACATTAAGTCCTTCCTTCAAGTAAGATGTATATTAAAATAGTTTCTCTACCTAAACTGAAAGGAGAGACATTACCGGGAATAATTCTGAAAAGTCCTACCTTTTCTTTGCAGCTGGAAAGCATGCTAATAATGCTAAGACAAACTGATTGGACTGAGAGCGCTGGGGACCAGTCTTCTGTTAGAATGGATAAACAGATATGACCATTGCTATAAACATGAGGATGAACGGGAATATTTTCACCAGTAAACATGACCTAAGAAAGAATAAAATTCCATTAACATGCGGATATTCTATATGACCAAAAAAAAAAAAAAAAAAAATCCCCCCTCCCCCCGGCACAAAATTTTTAAAACCAAATTAAAAACAAAATCAGTGCCAGGAACAAGATAAATAACTACTTTTTTATTCCCATGAATTCAGTAAATACTGGTTTCACTGTATGAATGCCCATGTCATTGGGAGAGGGGACCCCAAATAATCTATTTTGTATTTCAGCTATTTTTCAAATCCCCTATAAGAATTTCAAACTACCATGTATTTTTAGACTAGGAAAAGTCAACTCTCCATTTGTAAGAATGGTTTTTCATCTATTCATTGCTCTCCGCATACAGAAATCAAATCCAATAAAATTCCGAACAGAAAGTATTCAGCTTTGAGACCACATGAGTTATAGTTGGGAGGAACACCCCTTCCACCTGTAACAATGCTACCACCTCAGGTGCGGGTGCGATATGCAAAAGGAAATGACTGCAATGTATTCCACCTCCTCTACACTCACATATCCATTATGATGGGCACAAATTGTTACTTATTAATCAATAAATAACTATGTGCCTAGACCAAAATAAAAAACACAAAACTGGGGGGTTGAATGAGTCTCTCAATTACTTGGTGTTTTTCTCCGCCTTTTCTTTTACTCAATTCTTATAATAGTTTTTCCTTTCTTCATTTTGCTTATCCACGATTTTGAAAGGTAATAAATCCTTTGCCCTAATAATTAAATAAATATCCTAACAGTAGTGTTTCTTATACATATCTACCTAAGCATCTGAAAAGGAAGGAGAGTAGATTCATATATCCTGAGGAATTTATAAGCATAGCCCAAAGGAGGTCAAAAGCAATAAAAGTTATTTTTAAGAATGTTTATATGTTACTTTATATTAACTTATTTATTTTATCAAATAAATTAATTCACCAATCTTTAAATGAAGATTAATGTTTATATATTACTTTATATTAAATTATTTATTTTAACATATAAGTTAATTCACCAATCTTTAACTGATTTTTATTCTGTTGTTTAGTATTCATTCCTAATTCCTGAACTGGCCTTTGAAAAAATTACCTGAAGATGTGGCTAAAAATACAAATTCAAGGACCCACTTTCACAGATTTTGAGTCAGTAGGTATAATGGGATTATTATAAAGTTCATCAAATATAAACCAGTAGTTTCCAAACAAGATTTACAGTATTTTTTTTTTCAGTCCTGCAAACTGCCTCACACTTGAATATAGCAGAATCTTAGTATGGAGAAACTTTACCTTAACTTATGACAGAAACTGATGATGAAACATATATTGCTCTAGGCATACCTTTCCTTCCCTTTAGAGAGAAAAGAGAGCCAGTGAAATAAATGTGGCCAGCGTAATGTATGTCATTATTTAATATAGGACACGTTGTAGAAGATTATCATAAGCTAGGCTTTTTCTTTTATTTTTACACAGCTAGCTACAAATCTAATTTTATAACAATCTCACAAATACTTACATTTAACAATGCACTCTTTCATACAAGTAGAAGTTCTCCAATATTTCAAATACTACTAACATATGGGACTCATTTCCTTGGCTAAAGCTAATATAAGACAGCAAATGGATTTTTTTCCTCAAAGGAATGACTTTTCAAACATTATTCTTTTTTTCTCTTTAAAATCTGGCCATCCACCCTCCATTCACACTAAAGAGAGCTAAAATAAAGCTGAAAAATAAAATTAGTCTCAAAATAAGAGACATCAAGTTACTTTCCCTGCCCAATTGCAGAAAACCCCTGAAAGACTGGTACAGCCTGGTTAGAAGTATACCATTTACCTCAATTATATCTACCCATGCTAATGACTTTTTTGCTTAAAGAAAGTACTGCTCTGTAAAAGGAAATGACTGCTTACATGGTCTTGCAATTCTTAAGTTAATCTTAGTTTCCACAGGCTATTTTAATTTAATTTTTTAATTAAATTTTCTTTTTTACCAGTACAAATTATAGTTTTTTATTACATGCATTTGATATTCCCACAACCTATTGTAGATGTCTACGGTGGGTATTAATGAATCTCACAGAATATGCAACTGCTTTGGGGTACTATTCCTTTTGCCAGAAAATACCATTGGACCAGTAGGATATATTTATTAAGAATGCAAGCAATGCCCAAGAGCTTATTCCCTGACCACAACAATTATTTTTTTACAGGCTATTTTTCAGTAACAAGTCTTTTTTAAGAAGTCAAGTAGAACAGTGCTTTGAAAGTGCCAATAAATGAATAACCACCAAGTTATCTTCTTTGGCAGAAAATGAATAACCACCAAGTTATCTTCTTTGGCAGAAAAAGAAAAACTATTATCAGCAACCATCAAAGGAAAATACACAGACAAATACAAAGGTCAACACTGCATGCTGACTAGCCAATTCACAGGGCAGAAGGAAAGCAATATTCTTGGATAGAAATGATGGTATACTAAATCATTTGGCCTGGGAGCCAAGAAATATGCACGACCAAAAGGAAACAAGGAGAAGCGAGAGGAAAGAGACACCTGCAGCACAAGCAGCACAATCTGTAAGCAGAGAAGAACCAGAAATCAAGAGATCAGCTCTGAAGTATGAGGGGACTGAAATAAAAATCAAGTCTCAGTAAGCCTTAAAAATCAAACAAACAAACTGGGGCTTTTTAACATGCTGCATGCAGGGCAAATGCAGACAGTCCAAAACTTTTAGCCACCTAAAAACAGGGGAATGAATCAGCTGTACATAGCACAGGAACCCCTGAGGCCTAACCTGAGAAACAGATACAGAATTTACAAGTTCCAGGTCTAATCATGGAAAGGCTGAATTTACATGCCATAGATGAATTGCTAAAATAAAAGGAAAAACTTTTGATGAGTTTATCATGTAAAACACTGGTCAGTGGTTTCCACAGGCTGTTTTTTTAATGTAAACTTTACTATTCTAATTTTTATTTTATTTTATTTTTTTAAAATATATTTTTTATTGATTTTTCACAGAGAGGAAGAGAGAGGGATAGAGTTAGAAACATCGATGAGAGAGTCATCGATCAGCTGCCTCTTGCACACCCCCTACTGGGGATATGCCCGCAACCAAGGTACATGCCCTTGACCAGAATCGAACCTGGGACCTTTCAGTCCCCAAGCCGACGCTCTATCCATTGAGCCAAACCGGTCCCGGCAAGATCACTCTCTTAATCATCCTCATTTACTTAACACTGGTAGAAGCCAAAGGAGGAAATGTACATTTCAGTTATTTTAATGCAGCCAAGTAAGTTCTAAAACTTTAAGAGATAATTAAGCTATTTTCAGAGTTCAAAACTTTTTACTTGAAGTCCCAAGTAGCTGATAAAACTATCTAAAACAAATCTGACAAGACTACTGAATACACATGAAATTGAAACCAAAGGAAATAAATAAGAATGTTGCTAATTTATTTATTTTTTAAATAATTTATGCCTGGCTGGTGTGGCTCAACAGTTGAGCATTGACCCAGGAACCAGGAAATTGCTGGTTCAATTCCCAGTCAGGGCACATGCCCAGGTTGCAGGCTTGATCCCCAATAGGGACCATGCATAAGGCAGCCAATAGATGGCTTTCTCTCTCAATGATCCTTCTATCTCTCTCTTTCCCTTCTTCTCTCTCTAAAAATCAATTAAGATATTTTTTAAGCTGAAACCGGTTTAGCTCAGTGGATAGAGCGTCGGTCTGCGGACTGAAAGGTCCCAGGTTCGATTCCGGTCAAGGGCATGTACATGGGTTGCGGGCACATCCCCGATAGGGGGTGTGCCGGAGGCAGCTGGTCTCGATGTTTCTAGCTCTCTATCCCTCTCCCTTCCTCTCTGTGAAATCAATAAAATATATATATTTTTTAAAAAGATATTTTTTTAAAAAGTAATAATTTATTCAGATACAAACTAGTCATATAGACCAATGCATGTAAACCACACCTGAAGTTCTCAGTCTGCATTAGAAGCAGTCTTCAAATGTCTCTAAACTTCCAAACATCTCCCTATCAGTGTGGCTCATTTTCAAGAGCGGTGAGATCTGAGAGAGAACTGTGCTCAGGGTTCATATAATTTTATAAATGTGCATATTACACACCCAACCTAAAATTTAAAACAAGCCAACCTCTGGGTACTTAATGTACGGTCATAAAAAACTACTAAAATTTGCCAAGACCGGTTTGGCTCAATGGATAGAGCGTCGGCTTGGGGACTGAAGGGTCCCGAGTTCGATACCAGTCAAGGGCATGTACCTTGGTTGCGGTTATATCCCCAGTAGGGGGTGTACAAGAGGCAGCTAATCGATGACTCTCTCATCGATGTTTCTGACTCTGTATCTCTCTCCCTTCCTCTCTGTACAAAATCAATAAAATATATTTAAAAAACAAAAACAAAAAAAAACTACTAAAATTTAAACTGAAAGCCACCAATAGTGACAAAATAAAGGCTGGAGCTTAGCTGTTCCTACTATGAAATTAATGGTACTCATATATAAGATTTTCAAGAATCAAGCTGAGGTCTTACCACAAGGAAGGCATACTACTGTGTTCAGACTAGCTAATTATAAAGTCAGATACCTAAATCTGGCATTAAGTTACGTCAAAACACAGCATACACAGAATGAGTAGTAGAAAACAGGCTATAATTATAAAAGCCAATTGATAATATGGATACCAAGATTTCTTCAGGGACAATGCAAGAGAATACTTTCTTTCCTGATGAAAATTGTAAATAGATGAAATAATGTGACCATAAAACTGAACAAACAAGCAGAGAATTTACTGTAATAAACTAAGTTGAGTATTGAATTATGAGTAATATATGATTATAGTGTAAATGGTGAATCTTTGACAAAAGTGACTGGGGATTAGATTTTAACATAGTTTTCAACTCAATTCCTCCCTTTGGTCATCTACTAAGAATTGGCAGCATCAGCATTAACCGTTTTCCTGGTGTTTCAGAATTACCATGACCA